TTGGTTTTTAGGAGTCCTTACCAGAGATCCAGAAAGAACATCGTAACCTACTTCAAGAACTAAAAGTAATTCAAGAACATGAACACGCTCTTCAAAAAGATGCACTTAGTATAAAGTTGAAACTCGAACAAATAGATGGTCACATTAGTGAACATAATTCTAAAATAAAATATTGGCAAAAAGAGGTGAGCAAATTATTACTGTTGTTAAGTGTAACTTTAAAATACTCTTTATGGAAAAGGGCTGGCTGGGGTTTTTGTGTATGTTTTTAAGGTATGTTGTGATTCTTAATTTCATTATATATAATCACTTCTCAGGTTTATAGGTGACATAATGAACAATATATAGTTATTACATACAGAAAGATATTGGTGATGGTTTGAATTAGTCAACATTTTCACCCCAGGGCTGATAATGGATTTAACAAAAGGCTATCTGAACATTTGGGAACACTACAACTATTTTTCTTCAAGTCCTTTGAAAAATAGTTGATACACAGATTAATCACCACTTCTTAGTATATGTTGTTCTAATAGATAGGTAATTTGTCATATTAATTTGGGGGGTTTTATTTTTAGCAATGAATTATAATATTGTTCCTTTCCTAACACATCTAAATTAAACTTTTAGATTGCAAAAATATCATTGCATCCCATAGAAGATAATCCTGTTGAAGAGATTTTAGTTCTAAGCCCAGAGGATCTTGAAGCAATCAAAAACCCAGACGCTATAACAAATCAGATTGCGCTTTTGGAAGCTCAGTGTCATGAAATGAAACCAAACCTTGGTGCCATTGCAGAGTATAAAAAGAAGGTACGAATGATCTATTCATGTGTAATGGTCAGAAAGTCTCTTTACTCCTTAGTCTAAATTGTGGCCTTTAATTTTATATAATTAGTAGTGTTAATTCTTATCTCAAATGTATAACTGAACAGATGTTTTTCTCATATTTTCATAGGAGGAGTTATATTTACAACGGGTAGCAGAATTGGACAGAATTACTAATGAAAGAGATAATTTTAGACAGGCATATGAGGATCTTCGGAAACAAAGGCTTAATGAATTCATGGCAGGTTTTTATGTAATAACAAATAAGTTAAAGGAAAATTACCAAATGCTTACTTTGGGAGGTGACGCTGAGCTGGAGCTTGTAGACAGCTTGGATCCTTTCTCTGAAGGAATCATGTTCAGGTTTGTAATTACACATATGCTGAGTTTTTGGCTCCTTCTGTTACATACCTCTACATAGTTTCCAAACTTAGTATTTTTTAGGGGTAGGATGTGAAGGTTAGGTCTACAACTTGATTTATTCGATAAATATTAGTTTGATTACATTTTGGCAGTTTACAGCTTCAATTCTAGGCAAACAGTAAATACCTGATTTTACAGAGTATTTGTCTAGTTCATCTTTTAATTTTCGAGCCATTTCAGTTTAACATCAGGATTTTCAAATTACAAAGCAAAAAACTGCATTGGAAACAGGGGAAGAGTAGCAAGAATTACTTGCTGGCCTGCTGTTTAAATCTTAAATTTTTGGTAGGTGTTCTTATGTCATCCTCCAATAACGTTGTTATAAAAGAATCCCCCAAAAGCTTAGATCAGTGGAATGCAAATTAGAGATTCCCAAAGAAGGTGGTAGAAGCCAGTTATAAGAAACAAATCATGAAGTCTTCACTTCAGTTTTATGAGTAGTTTGACTTATAAAGAGATTTTCTTAATTATTTCATCTTAATTATTTCAGTGTTCGACCACCTAAGAAAAGTTGGAAGAAGATCTTCAACCTTTCAGGAGGAGAGAAAACGCTTAGTTCATTGGCTTTAGTATTTGCTCTTCACCACTACAAACCCACTCCTCTGTACTTCATGGATGAGATTGATGCAGCCCTTGATTTCAAAAATGTGTCCATTGTTGCATTTTACATATATGTAAGTAATCATTTAGAGGTTTTCATTCTGAAAGTTTTATGGCTTCTCTAAACATTACACATGGAATTCTTTGACTTCTTTTGAGCTTTTTTCCCCTATTCTTTAATCCCACATTCCATGGTATCAAAGGGGAGACCAAGTCGTTTATATAATAAATAGTTCCAAATAGTTCCGTTTTGAAAAAGTAAAATATAAATGGATAATGTAAATTAGTAGCAGAAACACAGCTAGAATCTCCAGTCCTCCTACATCTTTTTTCCACCAAGGACCCAAATTGTTCTCAAACCCAAATACTGTTTCATGAATTATCATCATCATTCTTGTTCATGTTAATTATCAGTGTTGAATTTATTGCCCAAGAATGTATCAGGGAAGTAAAACTTAGATATTTATTATGATTTACATATTACTTATTTTTTCTAATTTATTCATTCTTTCTTTCTTTTTAGGAACAAACAAAAAATGCCCAGTTCATAATAATTTCTCTTCGAAATAATATGTTTGAGATTTCAGATAGACTTATTGGAATTTACAAGACATACAATATAACAAAAAGTGTTGCAGTAAACCCAAAAGAAATTGCATCTAAAGGACTTTGTTAAATTTGTTTATACTTAAGATTCCTCAAATTGAATCAGCACAGATTCAGCATATTTTTACTTTCTATTTGTAAAGAGTTTAAAGTGTATAAAATACATATTCCTAAACTGGATCGTGTAACTGGTTACCATTTTATGCTGTTAAGAGACATGCTACAAGTCCAATAAAATATTCTCTATATCTGCTTCTAGGAGATTGTAAGAATCTGACAATTTTATAAGCAGACAACTTTGGAGAAAGTAAAATGCCTGGAGGATCAGGTGACTTGCCCTTAGTTCCAAACTGCTACCTGCAGAGTTTAAAAATGTTGATGAGTAGTAAAGTTCTAAAGTAGATCAAAGTACCAAGACCTGAAGCACATCTTTCTGGACCTCTGACCCACGCTGGAAAAGCCTGCCAACTACTGTTGTAAAAATGTTAAAGTATTCTACTTAACTGACCAACTTAATTTAGATAATCACTATTTATTACCCACAGACTGGGAACATTTTTTTTAAAACCAGTCATTCTGAATTATAAGGATGAGAATTTAAATACTATACATTCTTTTCTAAAACCTGATGTGCTTGAAACACTTGCAGAAGAGCCAGCAAACTGAGACACTGTCTGAAATAACTAGCATATAAGGATTAATTTCTTAGTATAAATGGAAATTAAGATGGAGTGCTGTGTGCCCATCAGATTGTCAAGGGTTTTTTGTTGTTGCTGTGTTACACTCTTATTAGTTCAAGAATATTATAATGCTCCTGGAAATAAGTTGGCAGCCACTTGGTTTTCAGAAGAAATTTTGGTATTGAATCAAAAGTCTTTGCCTTAGCTATTCAATTTCTAGATACTGATCCTGAGGAATTTAATAAGAGTTATCTCCTTATTCAATGCACCATTGTTTAAAAGTACTAAAAGCTCCAACAAAGACAGTTTGTATCATAACATAGCTATTAAAAATGTAAATACATTACCATGGACTTAAATAAAACAAGATCTAAAACTCAAGCATGGTTATTTGTTTTAAATCAAGATTATACAAGGGAAAAGTAACAGGGGGAAGTATAATATAATCAAGCGTTTTTATATTGGTGAGCGCAGAGGTGAATGGAATTAATATATTTTAATAACCAATGGAGTAGAAGAGCTTAGTATTAACTTTAAAGGAGTTACAGATAATAGCCCATAGCCAATATGAAAATTCCAAAGCAACCAACTGCTCCTGAGTTTGAGCACCTTATATTAAGCCACTCAATGCAAATAAAATACCAAAATGAGTTTATTAAAATACATACTTTTGTTATACATAAACCTTAGAAATATTTCAAGATTATACACTTTAAATTTTACAAT